AAACTGCCTGTATCGTAACACCTGCTGAACCAATTATTTCCTATACCCGCTGTAACGAAATTCCCAAACTAGCTAGTTTCTGGAAATAAAATAAAAAAATAATGTGAAGTTATGCCTTTAACATAAGATGTGTTGTTATCACTCTTTTTGTCATTATGAGTTTATTGACGCGCCCGTTTCCGATTACAATCCAAACCCGCGCAGCGGCGAGTGGACCGTAGACGGACACCGGGCGCATCAGTTCTCCGGATCGAGCTGTGGATGTATTTCACACCAAACACAACACGCAGCGAGCCCTTCGTGCAGAAAACCACCGCCTATTCCAAAACGGCGTAATGGAATCACATGCGTGTTTTTTTTTTCCACAACGCGCTTCAGGTAAACTGAAAAAAAGAGAAAGCAAACTCTGTAGTGAGCCCCTGCTGTAGACAGGAGCTGCGAGTGAAACTGATGCCAGGGTCCTGGGTACCTTGGGGTACACCGTCCGAGCGACACCCATCGTGGGGCACCACGCGGAGTAAGGCAGAGGGGGGTGTAGGGTGTGACGGTATCTCCGCATCTGAAATCTGGTGCCGCGGATCTGGGTGTGCGCTCAGCCCCTTCGCTGTTACACACACAGCAACACGGGGTCTGAAGCGCCGTCCCGCCTCCAGGCCCATCTCGCCCTGATTTTTTTTGCCGTCGATGGTTTCCTGCGTGTACAGTACGTTTTCCGAGCCGTCCGGGGCAGCACGGTGTTCACGTTCACCGGCGTCAGGGGGGACTTCTCCCCGCTGGCCCCGTCGCGCACACCTGCGACGAATAATAATAATAATAATAATAATAATAATAATAATTGCTTACACTTATATAGCGCTTTTCTGGACACTCCACTCAAAGCGCTTTACAGGTAATGGGGACTCTCCTACACCACCACCAATGTGCAGCATCCACCTGGATGATGATAATGGCTGTATTGAGCTGATACTTAATAAATAAATACAACTGATATAGTAGGCACTCGTGAAATGTGTTATCAGGAATTTGTATCTAAATCTTTTTTAATACAGGTTTTAATACGATTTCTTTACTCGAAAAGACAGCGATGCTTGACTCTTCGGTTTTTCCCAACCGCTTAGTTGCCTTGTGGGTTTTTTCTACGACCTCTGATGAACAAGCCGTGCGAAACTCTCCCGCGTCCGGCAGAGAGGTACTGTAGTATCAGATGAACGGTCCGTGTCCACGTAGTACAGCACACAGACCCCTAACAACTACCGCTGCTCACCCGTCCCATTTAAGACAACTGTATGGAACATGCTTTGGTATCGTCTAAACTGAACTTTGTGTGTAGATGGATAATTGTAAGTTCAAGAATACAGTTACTAATACATATGTCGATACATACAGTATGAAACTATATATTATATAAAATTAAGTTGTACATTATGTACAATATTGATGTATCTATTTTAGAGGCAGAACAGGGTTCTTGTCTTTTAAGCGCAATACGCCGTTGTGCATTATGGCTTATGAATATTAATTAGGTCTCGCAATTTCTAAAAGGCATGATATATAGATATCCAGGTCCATAGGCCTAAAGCGTATTTAATCCGCTCAAATGAACGAATATATACACTGCGTGACTTCAATCCTGCACACATGTGCTACGTCTTGTGTTTAGCTGTACAATGATGCAACTCATTGTACAGGAGCACATTGTCAAGTCTGGCTCTGATCATTCCTATAAGGTGAGGCACACTGATCCTAGCAACGGGGATTATTATGGCGAATATACAGTATAGACAATAAATGACCCGACTGTAGAGAATTGAACTATTTCAGAAAATATTCTGCATCATTTACAGTCCACTGTAAGGTTTGGTCCTGGTTCTGACAGGGCAGTATGATTTCTGGTTAGAAGGTGTGATTGGGACCCACCCAGCTGATAAACACGGCTCTGTGGAGCTGTCCAAATCCGAAGACAAGTTCGCCTGCCAGCGACAGTGCAGAGCTCTGGATGCTGCGCTGGCGAATATTTACAATCCCGCTTCATCAGGACCAGCCCACTCTAACAGCTTGGATTCCTGTGCCTGTTGGCATGGAAACGTTAACACAATATTGAGGGCCGGTCTTTCGTGGGATGGAGATCCAAAAATACACGCCAAGCAGCCAGTGTTCACACCAGCCCCAATCTGACAGTGTAAAAATAACACACGTGCACTACTGGAGGGGCTCCTTGCCAATGTGGCGGAGTGCAGCGTTATTTAATGCTCTACCACACATGAGTCACTGATTAAAACGCTGTAGCTCTCAGGATAGTAAGTACTGCAGCTTTGCAAAATATATCTACCTCAGATTCTTCAAGTCTCCTTGCATTAGTGATGCTGTCTTCGAAGCTTTGTATTGTGTTATTAGACCAGCACACTGTCACTGCAAAAAATGCGTTGTTTATTCTAGTGAGTCGGGTGTACATTTTAGCAAACAGACCCAGAGCTGAATTGTTTTCTTCGCTGTTTACCTTACATTTATCATTGTCATTTTTAGTTATCAATATGTGCATGTAGTTAAACGTATACAGCCCCTTGGGGCAGTATATCATCATTAGCAAACACTGGAATTTCTAGAAATCAGCTGTCTATGTTCAACCACAAGAAGCAGGAGCAGAGCTTTGGAGTCGGAGGGGGATGTATCCAAAGATCTTAGTGGAAGTTGTTCAAGTTCACACCTGTTGTTTGCAGCTGCTTCTAATGGCATATCAAAAAGTATTTGCATTTTCAGCTCTCATTGAACTGCTGGGGTGCATTGTTTTCAGACTGTGCAGTCTAAAAGAAAGGTCCACATTTATTCTTATGAGCAAAGAAGAGGAGGAACACGTTTGTGATGGTCTTTACATGTATTCTGCGTTAGTGCACCAGTTGCCAGAGCCTGGGTTATTCAGTTTCCTGTTATCTGCAGTGTGTTTGCTGCTGGCTCTTCATTTTAATTGCAGCAGCAAGAGAAGCTCTTGCATTGAGGGGAGAGAAACTGATATTTGATTTGGGTAGAGACTCAAAAGATACTGAGGTGTCTGTGGCTGATATATCAAGAATTTTATGAAAGGATCGTAGTGGTAAAAATGACAAATGCAAAGCTATTTGCAGAAAAGTAAAAAAACTGGCACTCAAATATGACTTTCTCACGTTTGCCATCAACTAATGCAAATACCATTTTAATACATAATAAAACAGTTAAATATGTCAAACCAAAATGCTTAATACACACACCACATTTGCAGACTCCACTTAGTCAATAAACCACTCACAAACCCGCATATTCACAGATGCCTGTTTATAGAGGCTAAATGACTGAAATATTTACTTCTCAGTGACACCTGAATCCCTACAGTCTCCTTTATTTAAGGAGCAACATTTACTTCCTCACAGAGCTTGAGCAGCAGTTCAGTGAGCTGAATATCAAATGATTTTGCTGATCGTTTGCTTAAAATAATCGAAAACGTTTAAGGTGGCAAACAACATTGGAAACATAAAGGGAGATATGTTTTTAAAATGTGATGAATGTTGGAACAGGCAAAAAAGAATGATGGGAGATTTGAATGGTACAGAGAACATGTGTCTGCGAAGCCCCATCCACACCGAGGCACTACTGTATCTCAGGCCGCTTGCAAAGGTACAGTACCCTGTGGTCAGCTGCGGACTGGCCTCTGAAAGGTGTCCAGCATGTGGCTCCTGTGCTTTGTGTCCTGGTCTCATGACCAGATAGAAGGCAGGACACACCCCTGCATTGTAGTGAAAGAGCTCTACACGAGTGTGGGGAATTATTATTATTATTATTATTATTATTATTAATAATAATACTTGGACATTGTATCTGGACTGTTGCATTACATACTGTACCACACTTGTAAATGAAGGAAGCCCATCTTCGTAAATTCTATATAAACCGGTGCCAGGACCTGTACAGCCACACCCGCGGTCTTCCACCGACTGTACGCGTTCAATGCGTGTTGTATTGTGCGAAATGATACCCCGGTTTAACTGCTTGAGCGTTGTACAGCGCGAAGCGCGGGGCCCGTGGGCTTCAAGCACCGAATCGCAAAGGCGGGTGTCTCTCGGGATTCGTCCGTCCTGTTCTCCAGCTGGACAGCTGCGTGCGAGCAGATGTCCCAGCGCCCGGACCCGGCGGCGGCGCGCAGCAGTGATGTCTGAAGCGCAGAGCACCAGCGCAACTGAGACCGCATTTGCCGGGACACGCCAGTTGCTCGCCTGCTTGCTTCGCTCCTAATAAGACACCCTCTTGCCGCCGCCAGACAGACCCAGTCGAGCACTTAACCCTCACAAAGACGCATCCCGTCTCTAAGGCTCCGGGCGGGCTCTGTCTGTCATGAGCTGCCACTCACGCCAGAGTCCGAGGCCGTGATTCATCTTTGCCAAGGCTGTGAGTGTGCAGAGCCGCCCACGAACTTCTGGGCTGCGTTGAGTCGAGGGCTCTGAAGCGGCCGTTTCTTTACCCCCAAAACCGCACCATTCCAAAGCCTCCGTAATGAGAACTTCGTAATGACAGCTCAAATCGCTGTTTATTGCAGACACTAAACATCTATCTGGCCTAAGGCAAGTTATCTTGAAGTCTTAAAGAAATATACGGTAGTTTGTGAGTTGTATCATTTCAGACTATAAATACCAATGCTGTGTAGAAAATACTTTATGAGTCCAGCATATTTTAAGAATTGCCAAAACATGAATCAAGAGTTAATGAATGGATGCAGAATTATCGTATTGTCTATATAGATTCAATGGGAACAACAGATCAATTAAATTCGAATTCTCTCTACATTTGCGCTCGGTGATTTTTGTGATTGTTCTGTTCGTGTTTCCCTCCCAGGGGAGACGGATGTTCAATGGACTTTCCAAGTTCTTTATTTTTCTGCTGCAAGGCTTATGCACTTACAGTAACTGACCGCCAGGGCGCGTTCTGCCGATGAGTGGGTAGCAGTCGGCAGCGAGAGAGAGGAGAGAGGAGAGAGGAGGAGAGAGAACTACTGTAGCAGGCATGAGAGCGAGCAGTTAGAGAGCCGAGAGTGGAGATCGTGTCAACGTCAGTGCGAGGAAAAAGCGCTGTGAATTTCGACTGAACGGGACGCGATGACAGACGCGTAACAGATCTCAACGCGTGCCTTTCATTCACTTTGGCCGCTAAGACACCGTAGGGGTGGGTGGGTGGGGGGGGGGAGATTGCCGATAGAAGATAAAGAAATAGAAAAGGCAGGAGGGAGAGGAAGAAAGAGAGAGAGAGTAAATAAAAGAACTAACCAGGCGCATCCACACAGACTGCTGCTCAAGAATGCGCAGAATTCCAGCGGAGACGGATCCGGCCAGCCAAGAGACCGCAGCTCACGGGCTGCCGCTGTAACGCGGATTCTAGCGCAGAAAAAAAAGTCCAGCGGAGATTCAGAGACAGAAACGGAAACAAGGAGGGGGTCGACCTGAAGTTCTGAATCGGCACAGCGGGGCTGGGGGCTGGGGGGGTTTAAACGTCTGTCCTGCTCCTTCTGCCTGGTCACAACCGCACAAACTTTATCAATGGCTCTGATCATGGAACCTGTTAGCAAGTGGACGCCGAGTCAAGTCGTGGACTGGATGAAAGGTAACGTGGTTCGTTTTGTTCTGCAAAATCTAAAAAGGCTGAGTATTAATTTGGTGAGAAATGAGCCTGAGAAATTGTGTCTTTTTTTATTGCTATACAACACAAGCTGGATTATGGAAGTAACGTCACCGTGTACTAGCGGGGGAAACGCAATTATAGACTGAATTATCGGCGCTCACATTTTTTTAATTTAAATTTGCGATAGGGTTCATATTACTCATCTGTATAAGCCTATAGAGTAGATGGGGGCAGGTTTCTGCGTTTTATTTTACTGCTGGGCTGTATTTCACCCGCTTAATCAAGTAACAGGTGATCTGAAATGATTCCAGCAGATGGGATATTATAACAGTTGGGTGTTTGTAAAACACATCTGAAATGAGAAATAAACGTACGCGTTTAACTATCGTTCTGTAATTATCTATCCCACGCAGGCAAACTAGCCGGTTGTCTAGCTAAAAATGGTATCGATACTCAAAGCTTACGACATACTGCCAGTGTTTTGATACCTTTTATTAATTAATAGAAATGTGTCACTACATTACGTCTGTTCAACATGTCTCCTAGCAGCATGTGCAGGTACTGTACGGCAAAGCGTGCTGGAAATTTCAGGTTAAAACACGGTTAAGAAAGGGTGTTCGGGGGGTATCGGCTTCCGTGAAGCGCTGGGAGACGCGGGCGATATAGTCAGGGTGACAAATGGGTTATAAAACACTCTGAATCCTTCGTCATTCTCTCGAGAGGACGTGGGATAGGATTCGCTGTGAGCCTCTGTGGGGGGGTTTAGCAGGTGGGAGGCAGCTGTTCAAAAAATCATTTCGTCGGTTTCTTTGAGTTGAAACGAAGAGTACAAAGTTCGGTGGGTGAAGAACTACATGGCGACACGGTGCACTGTATACAGAGACACATCTGTTGGTGGTGTCCGGTACCGCTCCGGTACCGGCAGCCGAGCAGGGGCTGGGGATGCGGTATTATCCGCCGGTCACAACGCGGAGAGCGCAGTGCGGGAGCGGTCCGGCCCGCCGGCTCCTGGGGCGAGAAGCCGAGTCCCCCCGCCCCCCCCACACACACCACACACCCCCCAACCCCCGAACTGCCGCGCGCCGAGGTCGGACGGGCTGCCCCGGACCCCGAGCCCGAGCGCAGTGCCCGCTGGTCTCCTGTCCAGCAGGCTGCGGAGAGCTGGGCGAGCGGCGGGTTTGCAGCGGATTGGGCCACAGGCCACCTCCTGTTTAACTCGCGCGTCTGTCGGAATCGGTCGTGCTACTGTCGCGGCATACGGCCACTAATCGTTATTATTGAGCTAGACCATTAGCAGGCTTGTAAGTCACATCACGCTCCCTTGTTGCAGTGTAGGAGAAACTATCACATATCACCTTTTGTGTGTGTGGTGTGGTGTGGGTGTGTGTGGAGGAGGGGGTGCTTACACGCCGTTATCAAAATCAATAAAAAAACCGATAACGTTTTAATGTTGTTTAGTTTTTATTTGCACTAAGATGGCTGACTTGTCGAGCGTTTTCAACAAAAATGACAGCCTGACCGCTTTTAGTAATTAATGCTTATTGGCTCGCGCCCGTGGCCCAGCTGGTGAGTGGACTGGTCTCTAGCCTGGCCCCAGAGAGCCCCAAGCCAGTAACTCTCACTGGGCACTCCAAGCCCCCCCTGTTATTTAAAGATTAAACTCATTGATCAATCATGCAAGTAGTGTTTCACCGGTCCTTGAGGGCCGGAGGATATTCTGATTTTTGATCTGTAAGAAAAAAAAAACCCAAATGACCTAATTGAACACATGGCCAGTTTGAGTTTCCAGAGTTCAGGTGTTTGGGCCCTTTGAAAGCTGGTGGTTTAACACCTGCTGGAGTGGAGCTCTCCGGGACCAGGGCAGGTTACCCCTGCTGTACAGTCAGGATTGCTTTCTGCCCACCTGTGTTTCTCACGCGTACTTCCAGGTTATTCCGACTTGATTTAGTCCGGAGGTCCCCAGTTCCTGTTGGCTTCACTGCACTAAAGCACTTCATTAAAACGCGTCCCCGACTGATTCAACAGGTGGCCTGGTTAGGATGTTTGCAAGTTCTTTTTTTTTTCTGGTTGAAGGTTAGTTATGGCTCCTACAGGTTTGGGAACTGAAAACGACAGGGCAAATTAAACCCGGGGATTGGGTCTGATAAGGGTTCAATCGCTTAATTGAGAGCTCAGGTGGAACACAAGCCAGCAGCTGTGAAGGTACCCAGGACAAGGACTGAGAACTCTGCCTTGCACCTGAGCCCTTAATCGGCTGATTGAACGAATGGTTTGCTTAATTGGACACTTTCAAGCCTCTCCCTGTTCTCACGAAGCTGCCGATTCCCAGAGATTCATAAAACCGGCTGGACGGGACTGGAGTCCTGGAAGACTGTGGTTGGACCCCTGCTGGCGGGAAATTGAAGTCAGGTCTCCCAAAAAGTGCAGCGGGGGTAGTTCGCGTCGGTTTCCGGAAACGAAACAGGCGGGGCGGATTTTCTTTTTAAGTGCCGTTTCAGTTGCTGTCCGTCTCGGCCTGTATGGGCGGAGCGGTGGCGCTGTGGCCGGAAGGCGGAAGGTTGCCGGTTCGAATCCCGCGGTCGGCAGAGGACTCCTACTCCGCTGGGCCCCTGAGCAAGGTCCTGAACCCCCACTGCTCCAGGGGCGCCGTATACAGTAAATGGCTGACACTGTGCTCTGACCCCAAGCCTCTCTCCCTGTCTGTCTGTCTCATGGAGAGCAAGCAGGAGTTTGTGACAAGATGAATTCCTAATACAAGAAATTGTATATGGCCAATAAGGTGATCTTATCTCTTATCTCTAATATTTCCTGACACCAGTCAAGTCTGATATGCTGGCCAAGGGGGCGGCTGGTGCTCTGTGTCTTCAGCTAAAAGCAGGACCCGTGTGTTGCTGCGCTGGAGCACAGGCCCAGGACCGCCACAGGAATGCCCAGTTGGCACAGACTTTCAATTAGCACACGAGCAGCCTCAGGAGGCTCTGGCTGTGTCTCGGGTTGCCCCAGCTGCACCCTGTTCTGGACATCTGCCACGGTGCAGGGAGGTTCCCAGTCCTCAGGGAGGGAAGCCCGAGGCTTTGTGTTGATGTCTCTGGATGCAGGCAGGGTGGGAGTCGTGGCCTGTCTCTGGGGTGATGGGCTTCAGTGTGGGAGAAGAAGGGGGTCCCTAATGCATCGCCACTTCCCTGCTGGACAGGCATGTGACTGGCGATGCAAGTGACCTTCTGTACAGCGGTTCTCAGCTGCGTGCCCGCCCCTGCAATCGAGGGTGTTTTAACCCAGCCCGAAGGCCGCGGATAGAGTCTAGACGCTGGTGTCGGCTTATCCCGGGTGTTGACAGAACCTCAGCATGACCCTTGTGCCCCTTGTCATGTGCAGCTGGGCTTCCGTGTTCCCCGAGGGGAACAACAGGCCCTGCCCGACCCACCGGTTTGACGAGTCTGGCGATCGGAAGAGCACGGACACAAAGGGTTCCCTGGAAACATTAGCTCTGCGCCCTTTGTTATCCTGTGGGAAGGGGCTGGTAGGAGATGCAATTCATTTAAAGTGCTTTGTTAATAACTGATTGCTTGATGTTCTTGCTGATTTTTTTTGCTTTACTGATGCTTTTTTTTAAGTGTTCTTGTTGCTTTCTCCCATCTGCTGCTGTCAGGGATCTGAAACCCGATATTTGCATCCGTGAGCTGGCAGTGACGGTGGTACGCTGAGTGTTCAGATGGGTCTGAGTTCCCTGCTGAGAGAATGCTCCACAGTCCAGTTGCTTTGGAGGAGGGAGGAGTGATTTAAAAGAGAGTGACGCAGAGGCGAAATTGTTCAGGATCCGTGCTGCTTTTTTTCCATGACTTTTTTTTCAACGTGATGTTCTGTATGTTTAATTCTAGCCAATGGGGGCTTGGGTAATTGTGGTTAAAAATGTCAGCGTGACACGCAGGAGAAGAGCCCCTCTCCGGCCCCTGCGATAGTTTAGACACAAATCTGGAGTTTCAGGAGGATGTCCAAACTGTGAATGACAGCGATGGTAGGATCAGCAGAAACACTGCAGTGGAGTTTTCAAAGCTATCCCAGTGGCAGATGGAAAATGATGTTTCTAGATTAGTTGCCCTGCCCACGCAGGGTGCCGTGAGATTTGAGGAAACTTTTTCATGGCCTTAAGAAGTTTGCAAACCGAGCAGACAGACTGTTAAGTAATGGCAAAGGTCAATATCTTACATTTAAGAGCCTTACAAAAGCATCCACCTTGTTCAGGCTGTGAGATCTGGGGAGAGCTGTCTGAGGCCTGCATGTCTAATGAGTCTCTGTGCACAGTCTCTGAGACTTGTGTAACTGCAAACTCTTTTCTGAGTCTGTCTGCGCAGCTGCTCGGTGCTGAAGAGGAGGCAGTGGGAGGCAATAACAGTCCTGCCCACAGATCAACTTTCATGTTTTGCTGTCAGTTTTTATCGTTATTGGCAGTGTTATTGATGTCCGTGTATGTGGGAATTTAGCATCTAGCTTCTTGCTCCAGGGTATTTTGATACGTTTCAGGTTGTAGTGCACGTTCTTGTACAATTTGATCTGGTGGAAGAGTAAATCAGATACACTAAAAATTGTTTTTCCCTAGCTGTTTATAAAAATTAACCCACAATAAGGCAGTAAGTATGAAATATCCAAAACGTGGGGCTGGCTTGCCCAAGCTCCTTTACCTTTTAAAACTTGAAATGGGTCAAACCTGCTATGTAATGAGAATTCATGTCAATTTACGAGAGAAGAATATTACATTTTTTTGTAAAAGCAGATGTGCAAAGTCTAATTGTTCCTAAGTCTAATGAAATCCCAAAGCTTTGCTTCTGTAATGAACACAGCCAGTGGAAACGGACAGCTTGATTATCATTATTATTATCCTGTGCCCTCATGAGGTCTCGAGCACTTCACCAGGAAATTGGTTGTGGAGAGGAATTGCAGAAGAGCAGGGGGCAGTGGATCCCACATGCTTTTAGAGCAGCTCT